TCACCACCCTCCAGGCCTTCCGCATAGCCCTTAAAACCTGGCTGTTCCGACAGGCCTGGGGCTAAAGATTCGCTGCCCCTAGTTCGAATGGTATGACTGTTGTGCTTTTAATTATGTATTGTTTTTGTGTTGTTACTACACTGTCTGTATCCCCCCTTCCCTTTTTGAGCTGTGAGCCGCCCTGAGTCCCCTTAGGGAAAAGGGCGGCATACAAATGAAATAAACTCAAACTCAAACTCACACCCACAGAGTAAGTTCCAAAAATTTTTGAAACCTACCACTGGTATGGAGCCTTCTTGGAACTGTTGAAATGACTGTGTTGTAGACTGGAGATAGATGATATCGTATCCATCCCGCTCTGTTGAAAGAGGGTTGTTCAATTTTGACATAGATGGTTTCTATGACCTCTCTTTCAAACCATCGATCCTCTCTGTCCAAAATGTGGACTTTGCTGTTTTCAAAAGTATCTTTTAAATGCAGATGGACTGCTGAATCTAGTCCTGATGTGCTAGTCTTCTATGCACTTATGAAGTGGTTGTTTTGTTTCCCCAATGTACAGATCTGTACAGGGCTCACTGCATTGTACTGCATATACGATGTTGCTCAATTTATGTCTGGGTGTTTTATCTTTAGGGTGGACAAACTTCTGCCATAGTATATTCTTGGGTTTAAAGTGTGCATGTATATTATGATACTGAAGATCCTCCTGAGCTTTTCCAATATGCCTGCAATGTATTGTGGAGGAGCTCCTGTAGGGTCTGTGTGTATGTGATTTTATGAAGGCCCACTTGGGATAGCCACATGTTCTGAAGGCTTCCTTGATGTGTTTTTGTTCTTTTTTTCGTTCTTATTCTTTCTTTCAGAGCTGAAGAAGCTTCCTGGATGAAGAAAAACCAGAAAGTCCAGTTGCCTCCTAAAAAAACACCTTGGGGATTCTCATTCTCCCTCCCCCTCTTATGTCTGTCTGTCTTTGTCTCTCTCTGTCTCCCTCTCATCTGTCTTGTCTGTCAGTCTAATTTATCTCTATAAAATTTCTAAATCCCCCAACTCCCAATAACTTTTATCTCAATACAGAGTAGCAACATGCTAAAGTTCGGTGTGAACAAAACTATAATTAAGCAAGCTGGTTGGAGAATTTTCAAATAGAATAAATAACTTATCTTTCTCAACCATATTTCATTGTATACTAGCAGTGCCTAAAACAGAAAATATTAGTGATAAAAACCCGAAAGCAGGTTCTGAGAGGGTTTAAGAGACTTTTGTAAAAATATCTGGAAAGGTTATTTGATCATTTTTTGCACAATTGTGGAAAACCCTATTCATATATTTTTTTCTCAAACTGCAATACTGAGATTAAACTAGTTAACATGCTTTTTTAAAAATTTTCCTGAAAGGTATATCCCACTGAACTGGATTGGATTTATTACAGAAGGGAAATGTCTTGAGATTACATTCCTTTGTTTTATGCAAAATTCTTTTTCCTTTTCCATAATTATGTTTTTCTCAAATGGTAATTATGTGTTTTAGGTGGTGAATGCCTATCACCTTCGAGTGCGTAGAAAGAATCCAGTTACAGGAAATTATGTGAAAATGAGTTTGCAGCTCTATCAGGTGGACAATCGCAGCTATCTGTTGGACTTTAAAAGCATTGATGGTATGTGGGAAATTCTGCACAAATACTCCCAAGCTTGAAGGAAGACTAAAAAAGAAACCCAAACAGCTCCATCTTCTCTCTCCGCCCCCATCACACTTTATATCTACTTTATGATTCTACTAGTCAGAACAATTGTTGTTTAGCCACACTTCTTCAGTCCATTTGTCATCAGTTAGTGTTCACTGTGACAGATTAATGATACACGTGGGTAAAAAGAAAGATTTCTGCTTCTTTCAAGATTCATAATAATCCCTCAGCAGGAAATAGTCTAGCAAGCCTTTTCTGATCACAGACCATTTCTGAACTCCTAATAGCATTTTCTCCACAAGCGATGAATTTCCTCCTCCCCACCCTCACCCAGATGATTCCATTATTCTTGTTTCTACAAGTTGAAACTATATCATTAGTATCACTTTCAGTTCATTATCTCCAAAAACTACCTCAATTCCTTGGTTTTCTTTTTACCCCTTTGTGATCCCCCCCTTTCTTGAATGTGGTGGGATGTCTAAATCATAGATGCTGAACGGAATTAGAGAAACATATATGCATGCAATTTGTTCATAAAATTGTTTCATAAAAGATTCACACACTGCTTTCCCAGATTTGTAAACTAGGGATCAAAATCTGTTAAAAATTCTTGCTGGTGAATTCTGGGAATTAAAATCCACACTTCTTAAAGCTCCTAGTTTGAAAAACACTGATTTATCTGATAGTGATACTTTCTGCATCTAATGGAACATGCATATATGATTTGATTCTTGGACAGGTAACATTTCGCTTGAGACCAATGGGACTGAAGTTGAGATAGCTGTCAGTTGTTTTGAAGACAGTTACAAGCTATTTAAGATAAAGGGAAGGGAAGGATTTGGTGAAACTCTAGAATAGCGAAGAGCATAAAAATGGCATACCAGGTTTTCCCAAAAATAAGACAGGGTCTTATTTTTTTGACTCCTGAAATAAGCACTTGACCTTATTTTCGGGGAGGTCTTATTTTTGGGGTGCAGGAGACAGCAAGCAATCTCTTGGCTGCTGCTGTGTTGCAATTGGGGGGGTAGTTAGGGGGTAGGGCTTATTTTAGCACATGTGTGCTCAAAAGCTGATTGGGCTTATTATCTGGGGAGGTTTTTGGGGAAACAGGGTAATTATGGTGAAATGTTTGAAGAAAAGCATGACTTGAAAGAAGTAAGTGTAGCAATACAGTTAAAAACCTCTTCTCATGTTACTCTTGTAGAATAGACATTAAGGCAGAACAATTTCTTCTTCTCCTCCCAAGAAGACATCAGAAGTATAAGACTTATGGAGAGGAATGGGAATTACATGAGACTATTGACACATGGTCTGAGAAGTCTGGAGATTGCATAGGAGGCTGCTTGTAAAAGCAGCTTCCATTTCATGGAAATGGGGATGTGGAAGAAGAGGAGGGTGACAATGGTGATGATGAGTGGGAAGAGGAGGTATCAAATAAGAGCAGGAGCTTACCTCAGTCTATTCTTCAAACTAGCTTTTGTTAAGTGAATTGTCCACCATCAGAAAAGCCAAGTCAGAAGTAAAATGAAAGAGTAGAGGGGAATTTTAGCCTCCTGCCAGCTCAAGAAGTTTTAAATCATTTCTCTGTATTTTCAAGATGATGTCATGGAACAAAGATCGGGTTCTTCTACACCTCAACGCTCAAGCTCAGCAGCTCGTTTGCACAGACCAAGACTAAGTCTTGACTCCGCCACTGTTGATTGCCAGTCACTTCCCGGATCCCCTACTGGTTCTTTGACTGGGAGCATGTCCTCTGTGACACCACGTCTTGGGAGCCATACACTGGATTTCTTTGAAATGTGTGCCAGTCTCATTATTGCACTGGCTGGCTGACAGGTATAATTCAGAGGTTTGATTTCAGTGGATGAGCATAGGCCTTGGTAATGCCATTTGGCAAAGAAAGCCTCATTTTGAACATACAAATATCAGATTCTGTACCCAGAAATTACTTTAAATACGGTATTTAAGAGAGAAGACAAAGGTGTTCGATTTAGGTAAGTCTATCTGCAGATTTTGCTGAATTTTTGCCAGTAATCTGGGATTGTTGGTGTTATTTCATAGGTATGGTAGAAATGATGAGCAGTGGAGTTAGTGCTTAACAGAAGTGAAGACTGAAGACTTCAGCCAAAAGCTGGTAGCTATTGGACTCTACTCGCTGCCACTCAAAATCAGATGCTGCACTGCTGCCAAAAATCTGAAAAACTCTACAATTGAAGAATTCATAACATTCATGCCATGTTGAATGAACAGTGCAATAATATTCCTGAAAACTTGACCATCAAAAGGTTTTTTTAAAAATAAATAAATAAATAAAACTTACTTTAGAAAACAAAAGCAATAGAATCCTAGATCCAATTAATTTAGATTTATACTCATGGAAGAAAAGGTTGTCTCTGCTGTTCTTCCAAGTATTATAACATTCAGAAATTACCCATAGAGTAGGACTGTAGACCAGAGAAAAGTGGAATTTTGATTTTTTTTAAATCTCAGATTTTAAATAATTATAATTTAGACTTAGATATTTAAGTTTGGAAATATATTATGGTAAGCCTTTTGGCCAAACTTCATATATTCTTTTTCTGCTATGGAAATGCTTTTGGAATGCATGGAAGTCAATAGTGCTTTTATATCCTACTAATGGATTCATCTGAAATAATTATTGCAGTCTACCTCCTAAATAGCGTAGAACAGCATTCAAGACTTACTGACTCGAAAACAGAGAGCTAGAGCTAAGCACCTGGAGCATCAGATGTCTCCAAATCTGAGATTAGATGATTCATTATAAAGCAATTCTTGTGACATTGTGGTAAAATTAAATAAAGCAACTGCTTTTATTAGAGGTAGCAAGTGTCAAATAATGCAGAGACATCTCTTACTTCAGTTATTAGGCAATAAGTAACCTCTTCCTGATCTCAACACATTTTTATTACATTTTTGTTGCTGCTGGATTGTACGTTATATCTGTTTTTCACCCAAGTAGAGAAAATATCCTCAGAGATGAATTAAACTAAATGATTCAATATATGAAATCCCCCAAACTTAGATGTTGAAAACCATTCAAATTCAGAAATCACTTCAATACAATTCTTTCGAGTGGTGGATGGTAGTCAGGGTTACCAATTCTTTTTGCAAACTATCCAGCAGCTACATTTCCCCAGTTTTAATTAAAGTTGTTGTTTTTTATTAAGGACTTTCCATTTTCATTGAAGGAATTCTTTTCAACGCAGCCTTTCATAACCACTTTGCCCTTTCTGCTGTTCATCATCCAGCTTTTGTTAGATTCAGACCATCTAATATATCTCATAAACAAAATTTGCACTCTGCTTTTTATCTCATTATTAGTTTTCCCATCAATCATTTCAGGCTGCGTTTTGCATCAAATATATCAAAATGCTAGGTTTGCATATTTAAATTAGTAATATTTATTAATCTCATGGCAGCAACAGATCAAAACGTCTATAGCCGCAATATAAAACTCAAAATTGTGGGGAAAGGAAGAAAAAAATGTTTTCCTTCAGGGGTGAGTTCCTTTGGTTAATGTTCTCTTTCAGAAAAAAAGGGTAATAAACTGATAAAGCAAGGTAATTGCAGGCTAGCCACAATTTTCAGAGAAAGGATAGCAGAGAACATTAGCAGCAGTCAAGAAAAGTGAAAAAAAGAACAGGGCACTCAAGACAAGTTTTTCTTGCTTAAAAAGCTAACTAGTATTTAAATGCTTCTGTAGCTTTAGTTGTCTATAACAATATTCACTAGGTGCAGGGGTGGGTTCCGGCTGCTGCTACTGCCGATTCACTCAGGGATGCACCCTGCATCCCTGAGCGTGTATGTGCAGTACTAAAAAAATGCTTCTGCGCATACAGAAACAAGATGATGGCGCCTATACACCATTGAGAGAACTGGTTCGGGGGTGTGGCAGGCCGCCAAGTTGCCACCTATTCGGCTGAACCGGTAGGAACCCACCTCTGACTAGGTGCTAATTTTAGGCAGATTTTGAGAAGAAAAGTTTACTGACACACACAGCATATTTCATTCACTTGTACGGTAATCCTGTACGTTAGCAGCCCCCAAACCTTTGGGCACCAGGGACCGGTTCTGTGGAGAGACGATTTTTCATGGACAAGAGGAGGTGTGGTTTTGCGTGCTGTCTGCATATTACAGAAGGGGCATTGCTTCTTTGTGCAGGTTGTTGGCATGCCGTGGGCTGGTGATGGTCCCCACAAAGTGGGTTGGGGACTGCTGCTGTACGTTTCTGTTCAGAAAATAAATCTTTGGGTAGACTTAGGTTTAAATAAGAATATAAGAGCATTGCTATCCAAAATATTTAATATATCCTTTTTAAAAAAAGATGGGAGAGTCTATTTGTTTTAGTTTTGAAACATTGATCCAAAGGGAGCACTTTTGGCACTGCTGCAGAAGCCGGTTGTGAAAGTGGATGGATTTGAGATCTTTCACAGACAAGGATGTTTCCCAGTTCACCCTTTGGTCAAATCATCAATCTTTTTCAATTACTAATACCCATTTTTGTTGGTTTTTAATCTTCATTTCTGATTTGCCACTTCCAGATCATTAGGGACATTCTAACACAGGCAAAAAACCAACAATGATATGCCTCTCGGTGTTTGTGTTGGTTCTAGCATCCCTTCATCCCCAGAATTTGAGAATAATTTATGGAGCCAAAAGTTGTGCAACAGAGAGATGCATTAGAACCAATTTGATATTGCCAGTAAATGACACTGCAGTGAATATTTTTTCAGCGAGTCACTGTGCATAATCAAAAGTCAGTCCAGAGTGGTCTTGGGTGATGACATGCTCCATCATGAATGCATAACATTGGTCTTGATGTTTTTTTTTACAATGATAAACAGAAAACTTGCCATTTTGATATGTATCATTTTTATTAATCACAAAAAACTCCACAAATACAGCAGTTTAAAGTCACGGCATTATCTAAATTGGCTAGAATATCTGCCATAAGGGAGTCACATGTAACTGTTGCATTGAGATTGTCCGCAGTACATTTTTAAAAGTAACAGATTAATGGGCATTAATCACTAATTACCTTGAAACATAACGAGTTTGTTGAATTCTAGATTTCAGATATGTTTTTTGTGAGTAAAGCTTTGTCATTTCCCCCTTCAATAGGAAAACATTTTTGCCTTGGCAGCATCCTTTTACAATATTATTTCATGAGAACTGGAATATGAATTTGACAGTGTTGTTCCAGACCTCAGGGCTTTTGTGTACTTCTAAAGCTTAACTGCCTGTGACTTTGCTGAGGTACAGATAAAGCAGGAGTGACTTATGTTTAGTGTTCATTTTCTTTAGGCTTTCTCAAGGCAGCACGTTTAGTAAATGTGTAGTAACAAAACACTTTATTACTGGAAATGGTAGTATTCTTTGAACATGAGGGTGAAACTTTGTAGATGCTGCAGTTCATTGTTTCAGAGTTTTTAATTAAGCTTTGTTCTCATAATAGCTGCTCTTTAATTTTACAGTAGCTATTTGTAATACTTATTAATACTTGATATTAATAATACTTGATATTAATAAGTTGATAAATTGAGGTTGAATTAAAAATAACAGCCTGAAATGTAGTAGGTATAAATTATGATGGAGTCAAAATATTATTTTAGGCAAAATGGGGGGGAAATTATCCAAATAACTTTGCATGAAGCCTTTCCAAATAATTCAAAAATTGAACTTTTCTCATTTTTTGATATGGCGTCTCAACAGTCATTATCTGAAAATGACTGTTGAGATGCCCATCGGTTTTTTCCCTTTGGGAGGATATTGATTTTACAGGATTATTTTCATATAATGAATTTTGATACAATTAAAGGAATACAAGTATAGTCACATTGCTGAATATGGATGTAGGTACAGATTTTCCTTGACTGATGACTACAATTGACTCCGAAATGTCTGTTGCTAAGCAAGATAGTTGTTAAGTGAGTTTTGGCCCATTTTATGACCGTTCTTGCCACAGGGAACTATGGCCCCTTTATGACTTGTAGACTTCAACTCCCAGAATTCCTGAGCCAGCCTGGCAGTTGAAATCCACAAGTCATAAGGGGGCCATAGTTCCCCACCCCTGGTCTACAGTATGCATAATACTTGAACTACTTTTATTTTTCTCAAAATTTTGAAAGTCTAGAAAGGCAGAGGTGCACTCCATAAGGAATAAAAACATACTCTCTGTGCTCCCAATAAAAGCTGAAGATGGAGATGCAAAGAAGCTGGGAAAGAGAAACTCTATTAATAAAAAGGATGGTTATTATCACTATCAGTTTAAGATGAATGTAAATTTTTCCTGCCCTGCTAAAAAATGTTTCCTCCATCTGGATGGAAGCAGATGTTTTTACAAAAGGTGCAATTTCTTAATGTCCACGTTATTATTTTACATTCATGTTGCACTTTACCTCTTCTTTTAATATCCAATTCAGATTACTAGTAAGGCTCATTCAATAAGTATCAGTTAGAAATATCACATGTGTGAAAGATAAAACACGATTGATTGCAACACAATTATATTCTGACGGCCAACTGAAATTTATCTTTGTTTGCTCGTGTAAAGACCCTCCTGACTATTGCATTTTCATTGTGGAGTTGGGATTGGAATTTGGATGTACACAAATGTCAGCCGTCTACTAAATTGTCAAAAGGATGGCTAGAATTAAGATGAATTACCCTTTTGCCTTCTGAAAGGGCACTGCTTGAGCTATAGAGCTAATGTGATATTCAGTATAGATTCAGGTGGCTGTTACCAATCTATTTAAGTGAGGATTGATAGTGATGTTATTTCCCCCCAACAAATAGGATAAACACATTTCTACACTGTTGAAGTGAGAGTACAATTTTCAACCACTGGTTTATTGGCATGTTCCAGTTAGAAAATCACTAATTCCTCCCCTCCCCCAACATCCCTTTGAATCAATACAGAATGTGTAAAGACAGTGAGAGCAGTGGCTCATATAACAAGTTTTCATTCACAGATAATAGTGGTGTAATCCTTTAGGTTTCGGATTTCAAACAAGGCTACTTAAATTGAATTTTAAGTAGGGTTAATTTCCTTGCAAGAAGAATTTTCCAATGGCCATTGCATTATCTTAATTTCTTCCATAGTAGTATTGTCGTTTTTGAATATGTGATCTGAGTTAAAAATAGAAAATTGTGCCTTTTTGCACTAGCAACTGAAAATGACAGAATGTATCACGTTTGCTCATTACCTTCATTACCATAGGTACAGGTTATTTAAAATACTTTAAGTGTACTGTCTGTTACCACTTTGCCTAATTGATGACATTTGCATGACAACACTTGTTACTATAATCATGCTGTACAACCAAAGTTATTCGTGATGAGTTCTAACTTAATAGTAGTTAATGTATTTTTTAGTAGGCAGGTCTTATGAACCGCTACAAAGTTACAGATAGGCCTCAATTTACAAGTGTTTGTTTAGTGATTCAAAATTACAATGGCACTGGGAAAAGTGACTTATGACCATTTTCATACTTATGACTGTTACAACATCCCCATAATCATGTGATTTACATTTGAATGCTTGACATCTGGTTCATATTTATAACGGTTGCAGTGTCCCCAGGTCACATGAACTTTTTGCAACCTTCTGACAAACAAAGTCAATGCAAAAATCCACTTAACAATCCTGTTACTAAATTAACAACTGCAATGATTCACTTAATAAATGCAGCAAGAAAGCTTGTAAAATGGGGCAAAACTCACTTAACAAATTTCTCACTTAGCAACATAAATTTGGGGCTCAATTGTGGTAAGTCAAGAACATCGATATATTCAGATCTTCAGAGAGATGTTTTAACTTGATCTTCACTCCATTTTTGATCTCTTGACTAGTTGTACTGCCCGTTTTTGAAAAGTAGCCATAAAAGCATAAACATTCATCTGTTTAACATAATGCACTGCATCAAGGAAACCCATGGCTAATTCACCATTCTTCCTATGTAGACAAGTGGCCTAACTCAATGCAAGTCAGCTCTTTGTGTTTCTTTGCCCCTTAACAATAATATCAATGTAATTAAAGCTGCATTCATGTTTGGCTAAAATGTTAATATGGTTTTTCTCCTCTTCGCCTCTATCACTCCTACCCAGAATTTATCCTAACTATTAGTGTTAATACCATTTCCTCAGTACTTTCAAATGGCAATGCACATCCAAGTGGGCCATTTTAAAATTTCTGTTGTTAAGTGAAACATTTGTTAAGTGAATTTTGTCCCATTTTATGACCTTTCTTGCCACAGTTATTAAGTGAATCACTGCAGTTATTAAATTCGTAACATGGTTGTTAAGAGAATCTGGCTTTCCCATTGTTTTTGCTTGTCAGAAGGTTGCAAAAGGGGATCACCTAATCCACGGACATTGAAACCGTCATAAAAATGAATCAGTTGCCAAGCATCTGAATTTTGATCACATGACTGTGGGGATGCGGCAAGGGTCATAAGTGTGAAAAACAATCATCAGCCACTTTTTTTCAGTCCTGTTGTAAATTTGAACAGTCAGTAAATGAACTGTTGTAAGTCGAGGACTACCTGTACTTGCAAAGAAACCTATTTCTATGAAAGGAAATCATTGTTTTCCCCCCAAAGATAGCTTGTCTCACAAAAGCTGCTTTTGAGAAAGGAAGAAACCTTTCACTAACCTTTTCCTTATTTGTCTCCACATGACTTTTGATCATCAAATCTTTAGTTGTTCATAAGCTCTGCCATCACTGCAAACATTATTCTGTTCATGAAAACTAGATGAAGTTGGAAAGTGAACCTTTAAATGAATGATAAATGGAAATGCTGCTTTTGGTATCTATAATTGTATTTCTTGACAGATTTCATTAAAAGTTAGTTACCAGTTTAAACATTTTTGTATCTCCCGTTAAGTTCTCCCTAATTGCTTTGAAACTACAACTGAAACTGCCTTAAGTAATCTAAAATAATGTGACATAATGTTTATTTGAAAAGTTGACATGTCTGTCTATTCATTTTCCTAAGTAATTATTGTAAAACTCATAAAACTTTTGAATGGTTACCAGTCTTCCAGTATTATTTCATCCCTAATTTGAAGTGAAATCACATTCTCCATATTAAGGTACACTGGTGGTATGTATGTATATCTAGCACTATTTTTTTCTTCAGTGTGACTATTTTTTTCTTCAATGTACAAAATACAAGCTATAGGACTATATATTTGTATCCTGGAACTACTGTATTTTTGGAAAATAACACTGTTGAAACAAACTCTGAGAAGAAACTGGGGGAGGAAAGGGGCCATTTTTCCTTAAAGGGTAAGTTAAGGGGAAAATAAGATGACTGAATATTAAGTAGAAATTAACAGAAGTGGCTAACAACAAGAACAACAGGTGGTAAAATGAAGAAAACAAAGTGTTATGTCTCAGATATTGTTTGCAATAAGAGAATTCATAGGATTCGCATAACCAGGCACAGCAAAATTTGTCAATATCCTTATGGAAAGTTAGTATTTCACAAAAGAATATTCACTGATACTTTCATGTTTCACTGTTATTTATAGAGGAGATAGTCCAGATCATTATTCAGCTGATATAAGTTAGAAGGCGGCAGCACAAGCACACTATTTTTTTTAGTTTTATAATTTTAAAAAAAGGATATTGAAGTTTCATGTACCTATTTTTATGCTGAAAAATGTTTATTGTATCTCATTGCATGTGATTTATTACTTCATGTTTGACATTTGCACTTCAATAAACAGATTATAAAAGTAAACATATGAACTCTTCAGCCCTTTTATACTTTAAAAATTTAGAAATATAAATACTGTGGTTATGGTTATTTTCTTCATTATTCTGCTCAGAGAAAATGTAAGCTTCCAGGGAATTGCCATTAAAAGCAAAAACAATAATGTTCTACACCAAGAACAAACTCAGGAAACCATTTTTTTAAATGCCTTTTTTTTTTTGCTGGCACTTTTGCCTATTTTGAGTAAACCTATTGCCACTCACGTTGGGATGTATGCCCTATTTTGGGCACCAGAAGTCAGTTCCATGGAGAGAGGTTTTGCCTCGGATCAGAGGGAGTGTGGTTTTATATGCTGCCTGCATCCCGCTGATGGAACTTGCATGGCCCTATTTCTGGCATGTTGCCAGTCCATGGATGGGGGGGGAGGGGGGGCTGCCTTATTGTGTTTTGCCTTGCTCTTTTTGGAGCAAGATAAGTGGAAATCTGCCTGTCCATGTGTCATTTGATAAATGACATAGATCCAACATTCATTACATTTATCCAATTATGTTCTTCATAGAAAAAGAAAAACTGTAATATTATAGTTCACAACCTTGAAAAACATGCGCAATATCTATGCTCATAGTCTTTTTTGTTACCTTGTGTTCATTTTATTCTTTTTTTCCAGTGACTTGAACAACAGTCAAGTCACTTCCTTTTACTTGCTTTAGTACAAGTAGGTCAATAACGTCGTTGTTGCATTATTCAAATATGCACTGTACTTTAAGTAAAACAGGGCAATTGATTATAGCTTGATAGAAACTGGAAATGAAAATTTTTTAGAAAAAGTTTGTGTGAATTAATGAAATATCACAGTAAAGTATTTTTAAAATAATGGTAATGCCCAAAGGGGTAGCAAGAAAATTACTTTTAAGTGGTTTCGGAATTTTTTGTTGCTTTCTAATGGACAATAACTTACCATGAATTCTTAATGATAGATTTCATAAATATTTGAAATAAATCAAGTGAACAGAGAAGCTAGAATAGAAAGAGCCATATGCAAAATATCCCTAATGTCCTATATTCTGTTTAGTTCTTTAAAATGAGTCCGGGGGGGGGGGTGTTTCCTCAAATGGAAACTTTCTCCATTTTGCATTGCAACAATTAGCATCTAAAACCCCAACAGCAACTGTGCATGCACTAGACCACACATTTTACAATGTGGGCATTTTACAACTTGCAGGCCTTTGGCTGTCCCTGTCCAGTTCACGGTGGCAGCCCTCCGTAAAAATCCCAGTTTCTTATGTGGTCCTTGAGAAAATTAATCGCCTTACCGTGCACTACACTCGACAAGCATCACATTAACTGACATTTGGCTGATAACATGACAGGTTATCAATTTATAATTTGCATTAAATTAAATTGAATTGTGCGGTATGCGAATTTGTTATAGGTAGTCCTCATTTAGCAACCACAGTAGAGACTGGCAATTTAAGTGGAACAGTGAGTGTGATTATGGTCCAACTTCAGCTTTCCTTTGTTTTACAGACCTGGGAAGCTCATTAATGTTAGGATTGGTTGGTTTTCATTACCATCATAACTGCAAATGGTCACTAAACAAAGACTGCCTGTATGTGTGTGTATGTGAATGTATATATATGTACGGCAAGACCTGCATATATATGTATGTATGTACGTACATACGTACGTACGTACGTACGTGGGTTCATTGGCTGGCCAGTACATAAATACGTACGTACGTACGTACGTATGTATTTATGTACTGGACAGCCAATGAACCCACTTACAGCAACAAAGCCAGCACTCCACACACCCCCACCAAGATTTATAGAAAGACAACAGCTCCGACCACGCCTTACTCGCAGAAGAACGAAGCCGAAAACACCAGCCTGAAGATGGCGAGTGGGACCCCACCAAAACGTCACCAAGACAATCTCAATCGTATACGGAAAAAGACCCTAATACAAGAAGATCAGCAGATAGATGATAGATTGATAGATAGATAGATAGATAGATAGATAGATAGATAGATAGATAGATAGAGAATGTGTGTGTGTGTATGTGTGTATTTAAAAAAAAATTACACTGTTGCCCGATCATAAGTTGTTATGGAAGGATGTAAATCCATTTCCTCATCAAAGTTGCTCAGGCACAGGCAGGTATCTGTTTTCACAATGGAACTTCACTTTTATATTTCCTATCCTCTGTCTTCCTCCTTTGACAGCAGATTTAAAGCAAATAGGACTTTCCAACACAAAGGAAACTTATTCTGATTGCAGTATTTGTTATATTGGTAAATATTCAGAGTTGGATACATTTGTTTTTTAAAAAAATGAAACAGTAAACACTTCTAAGTATGTGTTTAATTTCTGCAAAGTTTTGTGTCAAACTCTACAATTAGCAGCAATGTGTTAATTGCCAATTCATATTTTATTTATCCTATTTACATTTAAAAATAGTGCATCAAATGGACTCCCAATATTTTTTCTAAATGCTTAGTCCACAAATTCTTACACTGGTTAAATACAGGATTAAATATAAAACCAAGTGTAATACTCCTAATATTGACAAAATACATACAAAAAGAAATGTGTCAATAGCAGGTAATAGGTCTTGCACACAAAGACTAAGTATTGCTGTACAATATCCAAAAAAGCAAAGTGACATTTACAATTACCATGAAAAAAAGCTGCTCTGGGAAGAGTTGTAATCTGAAACAAAGTTTGAAAAAAAGGTGTTTTTACAGACAGTGGCATTAAGTTATTTGTACCTTGGCCTGTACCAAATTGATAAACTCTGGACAGGATAGCATGAATATCAAGCACTAATACAAAAAAGTCACTTTTATGACAATCATTAAAAAAAGTAGCAATTGTAAGTTTCTGAAGAATTCAGACTGAGTGCGTTGTCCACAATTCCATTTTTGTTTTCTTTCCCAAGCAACGAAAATTCATGCAGACTATTTTCCCTATATTGTGCCTACAACGTCCTTCCATAAGTCACATGTGTTGGCCTTCAGTTGTACAGCACTAGTGCCTGATATAGGAAAAAAACACAAAGCTACATTTATTCCAGGATACAAATGGTGTCATGACATCCATAAAAAAACCTATAGCTTTGAATTATTACAGGTTCTGATTTTAATTAATCCCATGTCTCAGAAGAACTGGGTCATTTTAAACCTTACCTGAAATTCAAATGTTCTAATTGCACATACCCATCTAGGAAAGATAAAATAAAATTGATTACTGTAGGATGAGTTTTGTTATAAATTTTAGTCACAGTTACAAACTAACTGTTCAAACCTACAATAAAAAATATTCAAATGCAAAAATGATGTATATTTTTTTAAGTCCTACTTCAGTATCATACCAAGATGGCCAATTTTTTTTAAAAAAAATTTTTAATCAGCTTTTCTGATTTCTGACACCACCTACAGTGTTTTTGTTTAATTATTATTAAATTAAAGTGTTAATACCACTTTATAATGCTTTGGTCACACTTGGATACTGCATTCAATTTTGGTCATCACGATGTAAAAAAAATGTTGAGACTCTAGAAAGAGCGCAGAGAAGAGCAACAAAGGTGATTAGGGGATTGGAGGCTAAAACATGAAGAACAGTTGCAGGAAATAATGAAAAGAAGGACAAGAGGAGACATGCTAGTGTTCCAATATCTCAGGGGCTGCCACAAAAAGAGGGACTCAAGCTATTCTCCAAAGCACCTGAGGGTAGGACAAAAGCAATGGGTGGAAACTAATCAAGGAGAAAAGCAATCTAGAACTAAGGAGAAATTTCCTGACAGAGCAATTAACCAGTGGAACAACTTGCCTCCAGAAGTTGTGAATGCTAAAACACTGGAAATTTTTAAGATGGTGTTGGATAACTATTTGTCTTAATTGGTGTAGGGTTTCCTGTCTAAGCAGGGGGTTGGACTAGAAGACCTCCAAAGTCCCTTCCAACTCTGTTATTCTATTCTATTATGCTCATCTATTTTATTCCTTTTGAAAGCTTACATTTGCCTTCAGAATTCCGACATATCAGTTGATTTCCTTCAGTGATGTCTATAACTTCAAGTTGTTCTCCAGGCAAAATCCTCAAGTCCAGGTTTCCTCTGATAGGAGTATTTGAGCAATGTGCGACTGCCGTATTTATTACTGTGATTTCTTTATTATACTATGGCAGAGAAAGGGAGGGGAAGAAACCAAGCTACAATATACAGTACATAAACTTAATTGAGAGCAGGACTAGAGCTTATTACAGATACAGTATGGATAGGAAACACTAAGAATGCCAAAGATTTCAAACATTTGCATAGAGATAGTCCTCAAATTACGACCATAACTGAGTTCAAAATTTCTGTTGCTAAGTGAGACAGTGAGTTTTGATCTACTTTACAACCTTTTTCACCATGCTTGTTAAGTGAATCACTGCAGTTGTTCAGTTAGTAACACAGCTGGTAAGTAAATCTGGCTTCCCCATTGACTTTGCTTGTCAGAAGGCGGCAAAAGGTGCTTACATGAGAGTGGGACACTGGAGCCATCATAAATATGAAGCAGTTGCCAAGCATCCAAATTTTGATCATGTGACCATGGGGATGCTGCAACAGTCATAAGTGTGAAAAATAGTCACAAGTCACTTCCCCCCCCCGCCATTGTAACTTTGAATGATCATTAAATGAATGTTTTTAAGTCAAGGACTCCCTGTAGTTAGTTTTTAAATGCACATTAAGCATACTTTTTACTGGCGTCAAAAGTTCCAATTTCAAAAGTGGTTTGACATACAGGTAGGCCTCGGGTTATGACCATTCAATGACCATTCATTGAATGGTTGACCATTAGGACAGAACTGAATGAATAGTAGCTCTGACCATCCTCAGAGTTGCATTCTTGTCTCACCTTTTCCTGCCCTGCACAAGCTCTCTGCTCCAACTCCCGCCCACTGCCTACCTCCCCCAATCTCTGCCATTATTGATGCCCTGCATTCCACCAGCTATTCCTGTTGCTCTCTGCTGCTACTACCCCAGCTGTGCCACCCTCAGGGGACTGTCTTCTTCCTCCCATTGCTTGCCCGGGATCTGGGCAACTCTGCAATATGTATGGCAAGCAGAGGCGGAAACCATCTTCCACCACAGGTCCAAGCAGTTGAAAGCACAGGAGGAAGGATAAGTGAGGTGGCACCAGTTCTCAAGTGAAATTTTCCAAGAAAATAAATACTTTATGGAAAGAAGTGGCAAACCAAAAGTAGGATTGCCTTATTAGAAGCAAGAGGAAGAAATATAAAATTTGTTCATTTGATCAAGATTAAAATAGCTATTATGTTGTCCTGGTAACCCTTAATGGACTCTTGCTGACATCAGGACTAAAATGAAGATATATTTATGGATTTGTTTATAGATAAGAGATATGATATGGGAAGAAGATTATTTGCTGTTTTTTAACAGACGGTGATAAGTTACTACAATTGTTGATATTTTATATATTTTCTTTTTCTTTGCAATATTCTTATTTTTTCTTTTTCTCCCCTTTTCTACCTATTTTACTTTTTTGTTCTTTTATACTCTAGTTTGTATTTGATTTTACTATTGTAATTACAATCTTTAATAAAATTTATACACACACACGTGTATGTATACATACATACATACCAGTGACGTGCGATGAGCTTTATGGCTGGTGATAGACTTTAGACTTGTGGACTTCAACTCCCAGAATTCCACAGCCAGGCATGCTCAGTTCTGATTTAAAGCGACAGCACTTCCCCCCCTTGCAAAATAAGTTTTCCCATTCTTTTTCTTCTCCCTCCCCCTCCTTCCTCCCTCTCTCCCTCCTTCCCCCCTCTCTCAAACAGACACACACACACAGAGAAGTTGGGTCCCTCTCTCACTCACTCACTCTCAAACAAACACAAACACAGAAGTTGGATTGGATATATTTTCCAAAGGCTTGAAAGCAGCTCCTCTGCCATACCGCCCCCTTCCCCTGCTGCCTTCCGATTGGAGCCTTTGATTGCAGGTGAATCACATTGCCTTTTCAAACTTGTAATCAGTGAAGCTGGGCTTATATACTTTTATCCAGGTGTGTGTGTGTGTGTGTGTGTGTGTGTGTGTTTAAAAACGCAATGTGGTTCTGTGTGCAATCAAACTTTTTGAATTCCTCCCCCCTCCCCACACACGCACCTTTTCCAGCTGTTTCAGAGAGGATTTCAACTCTACTTTTGCCTGCCCTCATGAAACGCCAGAGCTCTGAGTCAAACTGAGCTAGTTGCTCCCAGAGAACTCTAAAAAGCCTCTAAAATGCCCTCCTTTGTATATGAAATTTTTGGCTTTTTAACCCTTGCTTAACTCTTAAAAGGTGAAAAATTGCTTATGCACAGGAGACCCATAGTTCTCTTGCCTCCTCCTATAGTTAACACTAAGCAGATGCCAAGTCACTGTGACTTGGAATCTGGCAGCAACTACCTTGGCTTTAATTATTTTTTTAAAATTCTTTAAAATTCTTTCCTTTTCCTCATGACTGGTGAGGCCACGCCTCCCCTGTCTAGTGACTGCAAGTCCCTGATACATACATACATACTCTGCAGCCACATATTTTTCTCTTAAAACAAGGTCCGAATTCTTGGTTACCACTAAGAATTTATGCCTATTTCTAATGATAATATAATGTAACAAGAATAGTTTTCTGGAATGTTGCTATTCATAGTTCTGTATTGTGACAAGAGATGACAAATTGCACAGCATATTTTCATATATCATACACACAACAGTAACCATGCCAACATCTTCCAAGCTATTTAAAAGAAGGAGAAACTTACCATAAATCTTTCTCTAAATGATTGTTCCTCTTTTGTCATCTTGTTATTCTTTTCTACAACGTATTTCTTGACTTTAAAGAGATTTCTAAGAAAGACACATGTACAGAATAAATCTAACAAATGGACATCTGAGAATCATGGGGAGGGGAAAATCAGGATTTTTGGTGTTGCTAAATCTGCATCAGAGACCAGATGCCCTTATCTGGAAAGATCCTCAAATGACCTTGAAGCCAGTCGCCTAACCTTTTCTCTGCTTAAAAGTAAACTGAAGAAGTCAACTGCGTGTTTATTTGCCAGTAAGAAGCTAGAACTCACCCAAAAATGTTAGCTTCCTGGACTACATCAATTTTCTCTGTTTGTTAAACTCTATTCCCAAAGGCAGAAAATGAAAAATACCAGCTACTGTGTTTCCCCCAAAATAAGACAGGGTCTTATTTTCTTTTGACCCCCGAAATAAGTGCTTGGCCTTATTTTTGGGAAGGTCTTATTATTTTTGAGGTGCAGGAGGCAGTGTGTGGTCACCTCATGGCTGCTGCTGTGTTGCAATATTTTCAGGGAAGGCATATTTTAGCCCATGCACTCAAAAGCCCGATTGGGCTTATTATCTGGAAGGTCTTATTTTGGGGAAAACGGGGTAGTTCCAATTTTGGATTATGGCAAATTGAACTATGGCTATTTCAGAGAATCCTAATTTAGACTTGATGTCACACAAATCTTCCACCTTTGTATTGTTAAAGATATAAAATTTCAGCTTGAAATATGCAACAGTGGAATGTTTCTGTTGAATAGCATTAAACATTGTGGGCCGCTTTATATTTTGCTTCTTACATAAATAATAGAAATGTAAATGATGTGTTTTTAGAAATTCCCATCTCTTCAAAAATAAATGCATCCAGTGTTCTTTCTTTATCTTTCTGCATGATTGTTGTTTGCTTTTCTCTTTCTTCCTTTCAACAAAGAAAATGTAAATGTCCAGTTTTATGACAAATATTCTCTTTTGAAAAAGGAGAGTGGGGGAGAGAACACGGTTTCCTAATGTCAGGGATGTCAGAAAATGCTGAGGTTCCAGAGAGACAATGAGTACCAGCACGATCAACTAAGATACCACACAACAGGCCTCATTTCATGCACCACTGAATCACAAAACCATTTTCAAATAGGAATCATGTAGTTACAGTACACCCAGACCTGTAGTTCAATAGGTTGCAAGCAGAGCACCAAGCAGCTTTCACCCAGCTGGAAAGTTACAAGGGATTTTGTTTTAATGCAAGCAAAAAAAGCTGATGCTAGAATTAAAATGCTATTTGAATTTCACGCAGCCTTTGACTCCACAGCATTCCATTCCTCACAAAAATGCATTTAATACTCAATTATTCTCATGCTGCTGAAGAACCAGTTCAGTTTTATTATCAGGGTTGACGTATATCACCTGCAGAGTCACCCAGACATAATGCCTACCAACAAACAAAGTTGTCGCATGTGACTGTTTGCACTCAGTTCCCTATTGTTAACCAGAAAGCTTAGCTGAAATTTTGTGTATAACTGAAGAATCTCAAGACCGAACTTGGAGAGAGGAAAATACAGAATCTAGGATGAAAGACATTTCAATTCTATAGTGGAAGACAGATGGAAAGGTGATCTTCACAATGCCTGAGAAACATTTATTGTGTGGCACTGAAAACTCTGCTTCTTCTCGTTGTACAAAGTTTCTGGTTATATACAAGGGGAACAATTTATGCCATCCAGAAAGTTTAAACTATTTCAGTTCATGAGGTTGCTGGAAGCTTACACAAAACCTTTGCAGATAAAAGAATGAAGGGATTAAAAAAATACCAGTCATTTCTTAATAAAGCCAATCTTAATAAAAGGAGCTTTAGGCATCAGTTTCTTGGTGTGATCTACTGGATCTTGTATGGCTGACGATCAGGATTGGAGGAAGCTGCCTGACCTCATGGAAGAAAGACAGGATGCTAGTTTTGTGAATAAATGAATAAAATATGTTCCCAAAAGTGTCCCAGATGTGCTTCAGAGTCTTTAAATAGAATTGACACTTTTGAATCTTGGTGTTGTGGAAGACTCCTGAGAATACCATGGATAGCCAAAAACATGAGTAAATTGGACCAGTTCTCATTAGAAACACAAATGACCAGGCTCAAATTATTTTACTTTGAATGTATTATGTAAAGATCCAGCTTTCTGAAGAAATCTCTAATGCTAGGAAAAATGGAAAGAAAGAGAAGAGGATGACCAGCAGGGAGCTAGATGGATTCAGTTTCAGTGGTTAATAGGTCCGCTGCTAGAAAACCTGAAGGATAGTTCATCATGGAGACTAGCTACATCAGGGTGTCAAACTCGATTTCATTGAAGGCCGCATGAGGGTTGTGTTTAACCTCAGGGAGACCAGGGGTGTGTGGCTAGTTTGATGTCACTTGTGTCGGGGTGCTTCTCGTGGCCTGAGTGCTCTGCCAGAGAAAGCAGGATCCCAATCTCCATTTTTGGCGGGGAAGGCCTCCTGCAACCCTCTGCCAGCAAAAACGGAGCTTGCATTTCACACCCCTGATCTACGTGGTCACTAAGAGCCAGTTCTAAAAGCACATAATCAGTTAATTAACCTTATTATTGCATTTTATACTATTGCATATTATATTATTGAAGCCAGTGACATTATCACACATTTTAAGGGTACTGCTATAATTTTATAGATCTGAAGAAAGTTTTGTTGGCATGAAAATTTTTAGATAGGAAAGAAAAATATATTTGTGACTATTTTACCTACCTTGTATCATTTTGTTCTGGGTCAATGTCATTATACACCAAGTTTTCCTGGGCCATGACATCTGCAATTAAAAGCAGAGAGTGTGATTAACTATCTACAATTTCCCAGAATTAAGAAAGAGAAAGCATCTAAAATCTTACAGTCTACCAAATGCAACATGAAAGGAAAAACAAATGGAGTGACAGTAGGAAATAAGCAAACTCAATTATCAACCTCTAAAAAGTTACAGTGCATCCCAGAAAATGAATGGCCTTTGAATTCATAAAGTGAGCAAGGCTACTTTGGAAACCCCAAGTGACTTCCTTGTAAAAGGAGACTGTCACAATTATCATTTGTCTCCTTAAGAATTTCCCACTAGAAGTGAATTCCAAAAGGACTAATGGCTATGTATTAAGCATTAAAATAACTAAGAATGTTGTAATATCTGAAAATATCTAACTTGTCTGAAGCAGTTCTACAAATTCAGTGTGTAAAAGAATAATTATAGACTCAATTTACTCTTACAAAAAAGCTGAATCTGTAGAATTAGAGACTAGCAATGGCAGATGTGCTAGAAATTCTTCTTGGCTGCACTCCCATCATTAAAAAAAAGATCTGTTAGAAATGAGAAGCAGGGTTTTAAACAGGCTCCATATTTTCTATTGATAATTACAAAATAAAAAGAGGGGTGCCTATTCCAAAGCATCTCAGATATGTAGACAGGACCAAAAATGTTATTTCAGAAGAGTCAGTTTATCTATTAGACATACAAGCTTACCTAGGTTTGGTACAGAACGAGAAAGATTGCTGCAGAAGACAAATAAAACAAATGTGCATTTTAGCATGGGTTATAAATAACATTTGGCTGCACATCTGCAGTTAGGGTTTTCAAACAGGAATTAACATGCACCAACTTCTATACTGCCCATCACACTTGCGTGACTCTTAATTTTGAAGATTATATCATCGTCATCTTTAAATGACCCCATAATCCCTTGCGGGGTGGAGACTTGGCAACTGAATGGAGCTGAGCGTTACTGGCCAGATGTCCTTTCTGTCACCAATGTGACAGCGGATACAATCTCAAAGTGTCCAGAGAGAGAAATATCTGCCTCTACCTAGGATCAAACACACAGACTCCTGAATGTGAGGCAACAGCGCCACCTCTAGGCCACTGTACCACTCAATTTTGAAGATTATATGACTGAATAAAATCATCATTGGAAAAAAAAATTGGACCAATAAAAATATTTGAACTTCACAAGTTTTTTGTTATCAATTCCTGAAAACAGCACATTTACATATCCAAAATGCATTACATTTTTGGAGCCTCCTTAATTCCAGGTTGCTTCTCTCCTTGATTAGTTTCCATCCATTGTTTCTTGTACTGACCTCTGGTGCTTTGAAAAATAAGTTGACTCCTCCTCTTTGTGGCAACCTCTCAAATGCATATCAGCTACCATTTTCTTAATATTCAATGCTACTCATTCATTAACATTTTTGTCCTTCCCACTCAACCTGGGTAAGATGGAAGGGAAAGGCCTTGCCATTCTGTAAATGTATCTACAGCTTTTGCATTGCTATCCCAATCACATTTACATTTCAATGACATACATGCTATTATTGAACTAGCAATTAAGATGTAACCTTCACAGTGCTTGATTTGTATTGCAGTAACCCAGCATTTCAAAGGTTCATCAGCCACCACAGTGACCAAAATGGAATAAAAATTAAGGACTAGCACTTTAAATTAATCAATAGATGCCTTTTATGGATGATGATGATGATGAGTTCTTGATGTTTTCTAAGATTGTTTTACTGCAGATGTTTTATTACCAGTCTAGGTAAGATCATCAGTTCAAAGGGATTGAAGTTTGCTGGCTGTTTATTGCATATAGAATAGCTTCCCCTGCCAATTTTGTTTGCAATGCGTCTTCTTGCTTGATTGTTCCTTGATTAGGACCATACTGTATATTCTCTACATACCATATACAGGTAGTCCTCAACTTACAACAGTTCATTTAGTGACCATTCAATGTTAGAAAATCACTGAAAAATGTGACTTATGACCATTTTTCACACTTACGACTTTTGCAGCATCCCCATGATCATGTGATCTAAATTCAGATGCTTGACAACTGATTCATACTTATGACAGTTGCTGTGTCCCAAGGTCATGTGAACCCCTTTTGCGACCTTCTGACAAGCAAAGTCAATGAAGAAGTCAGATTCAATTAACAACTGTGCTAATAACTTATCAACTGCAGTGATTCACTTAACAACTGTGGCAAGAAAGGTCATAAAAACAGGACACAACTCAATTAACAAATGTCTCACTTAATAACAGAAATTTTGGACTCCATTGTGGTTGTAAGTAGAGGACTACCTGTATTCTCTACTATTGGAATAATACATTACATACCGAGAACTCTCTTTCATTTGTGCGCTTTTTATTTTTAATTTTCCTTTGAAAAATTTTCCAAATGCTTTGAATTTTTCAATTTTGATATCTCTAGAAGAAAAAAAGAGAGAAATTAATAAATAACAAAGTGAAGGTTATATAACCTATAAGAAGGTGTATATATATATAGGGAGACTAGGATATATATAAAGGGAGACTAGGATAGATCTATTTCAAGCTATTTAGCTCTCATCAGCTAGCCATACCCTTACTGGGATTTGAACCTGGGCTGTTTTTACATGTTAGTCAGTTATATTAACCACTAAGCCACAAGCTCTCCTCCCATATTTGGCATACCAGGTGCTTTGACATCACACACACTCACACACACACACACACACACACACACACACACACACACACACACACACAGGTTTTATACATTGTCTTTCTTTATGAACATAAAGTTGGGAAAAGACAATAGGTGAATGTGTCTCTGGCACCACCCCAACATGCAATTGCTGCTTTTCTAGAATTTCTTTGTAAAAACATTGGAGAAACAAACAGTGTGTAAATCTAAAGGTGGAATCAGTGTTCAGACGGGGCTCGGACAGCTCCTAAAAGAGTTCAGGCTAGCATATAGCAAAGACCTTTTCAACATCTCCTTTGTGCTTCAGCAGCTGCTTAACCCTGAAAAAAAACCCATATATGTAAAAACGGAAGGCAGGCTGCTACCGAGTTCATTCTTCCCAGGCATCATCAGCCATGCTCCATGTGGCACAAAAACAAGACAAAAGAAGCCTATTATATTCTAGCATTATTACTCTGAGGAACACCCACCTTTTATAATTCCTGGAATGAATAATTCCTTTTCCAGAAATTCTGGGAGGGCAAGATGGGAAAAAAGATAGAATATTACTAAAAGCATCTATTTCTGATTTTGCTCCTAAGGTGGAAGTTAGTTCCGAGCTAAGTTTAACTACTGGTTGTTACCGTGTTTCCCCAAAAATAAGACCTCCCTGGATAATAAGACCAAATGGGCTTTTGAGCACATGCACTAAAATAAGCCTTCCCCAAAAATAAGCCCTCCCAAAAAATATTGCAACACAGCAGCAGCCATGAGGTGACTACGCTCTCCGCCTCCTGCACCTCAAAAATAATAAGACCTCCCTGAAAATAAGACCCTGTCTTATTTCAGGAAAACATGGTAGATAAAGATATTGGGGTGGGGGCATGTGGGATTGACAGTGATGGGGAGGGGTCAATTCTAATTTATCCCAAGGGCACTAATATAGGGAAGCTTAGTGCAGATTATTTCTGGTAATAGGGTACTCTATCTTAGACTCTCAAAATTGGGTTTTCTGTTGGTTCATACTGGTTAAATACAGGTAGTCCTTGACTTACAACAGTTCATTTAGTGACTGTTCAAAGTTACCGTGTTTTTAGGAGTATGATTCACCTTTTTAAAAAAATGTACCTCTTCAAAATCATGGTGTGTTTTATACTCCAGTGCGTCTTATAGTCCAAAAAATACGATACATCAGCACTGAAAAAAGTGATTTATGACCATTTGTCACACTTACAACCTTTGTAGCAGCCCCATGATCATGTAATCAAAAGTCAGATGCTTGGCAATGGGTTCATACTTATGACTGTTGCTGTGTCCCGGGGTCATGTGATCCTCTTTTGTGACCTTCTCACAAGCAAAATCAATGGGAGAGCCAGATTCACTTAACAACCGTGTTACTAACTTACTAACTTATCAACTGCAGTGATTCACTAGAAACATCGTAAAATGGGACACAACTCACAACAAATATCTCACTTAAAAACAGAAATTTTGGGTTCAATTGTAGTTGTAAATAGAGGACTACCTGTATTCTGTAAGCAATTAGTCCAATGAATTTAATGGGTATCAAGTCAGGAAATTTTGGCCTAGTCTGTTCCAATTGATATTCTAAAGTAGTTAATCCCCAACATAGCACACAGCTCATTTACTGACCATTTGAAGTTACAACAGCACTGAAAAAAGTGACTTATAACCATTCTATGAGCCTTGCAGCATCCCCATGGTCACATTATCAAAATTTAAAAACTTGGCAACTGACTCATATTTATGACAGTTGCAGTATCCCAGGATAAAGTGATAATCTTTTGTCAACATCTGACAAGCAAAGTCAATAGGGAAGCCACATTCACTTAACAATCGTGTTACTAATTTAACAACTGCAGGGATTCACTTAACAATGGAAAGAAAGGTCATAATATGGGGCAAAATTCGCTTAACAAACATCTCACCTAGCAACAGAAATGTTGGGCTCAATTGTGGTCATAAGTTGAGGATCACCTGTGCATAGAATATGGTTACTAAGCATCAGGAGGAATTCTCTGACTATACAAGCAGCCAACCGGTCAAAGAGGCTCCTGTATTAAGTGATAAATTCTTACTGAGATCTTCAAATAGAGTCCGGATAGTGAACTATCAGAGATGATATAGTAGATCCTGTTACAAGCAGGGAGTTGAATGGGGTAATATCTAAGATTCCTTCCAACTGTATGATCCTATAATATTTCCTACACTCCAAAAAGGGACTGCAGCAATACAGTAAACATACTTGACCATTGCCAAGAAGCACAAAATACGGCTTTTTTTGAGCCTATAGCAAAAAGGCCAAGCTCCCCATGCGGGCTATAAGCCCAGCGGCTGTAGCTGTAGCTGTGCACAAACACGAGCCAGCCAAAACTGTTTGCTCGGGGAGGTACTCACAATATCTTGATCTGATATAAAGGCAATAAAACTCTCTCTATATTCTTTGAGGAAGAGAACCAGCAGATGACACAACTGTCCAAGAGTGGACTGAGTCGAAAGCTGGGTGGCTAGCAACAGAAGTGGAGTTTAACAACTTTAAAGAAACAGACTCAGTCCAATCAGGAGCGGCCAAGGTCAACCCATGCCTGGATGCTATCTCCACCTCAATGGAGAAGACGCAAAGTACATACAACCAAAGACAATCTACTCACTCTGATTTGGAGGAATTATAACCTTCACTTTGAATTTCACTTTGAATATCTTCATATGTTTCTTCATAGGTATCATCTAAAATATAAAGAAATAAAAAGCCATATTTGTAGCTAAACCACCAGTTGCTAATAATTTTAAAGTATAGTTAGAAAAGACAACATTTGGAAATATAACAAAAATGTTGTTTTTTTTCTATCACCATCCATTTATTGCACTTCAGTAATAACCTAACTAAGCTCTTTTTGGAATATCCAAGAAGTAGGGCTTGAATTAAATAAAACTGACTTCCAAATTTCAAGAGATTATAAAATATAGAGCACTATGAACTGGGAGTATGGAATAAAACAAGCACATGTTTTCTATTCAAAAATACGTCAAAAGAATATACTTTAAAATTCTACAACTTTGTAGCTTTTATTGCATCCTATAACTGTCTTAAATTGAGCCAATCCTGTAGGAAAGAATGAGGTGGAGAAATCACACAAAACATTAACCCCAAAGAATTATTAATCTATCTAACTGACAGATTATTTCATATTCTTATATAAATTAATTTATAAATTAATTTTTGTTGCATTCATATTCTGCCTTTCTTCCAAGGAGTTCAGCTTAGCCCAAATGTGATCTCATTTTTACCTTTACAGCACTCAAATAGTCTCAGTATTTAAATAGTAATCAAATATTCTGACTTGGTGAATTAACTACAACCATCAAATAAATTTCAAGATTGAGCAAGGAATTAGTTTGGATTTTTTTTTAAAAAAAGATTATTTATACATACACATCCATTTTTTCATATGCTACCTAAAGGTTTTGGATTGGGGCCGGTTACCAATACTATAAAACCAACGAACCAATAAATAAGAGTCTATAAATTATCTGAGAGACAAGTTCAAAACCATGACTGCTCCTGATGAGGAAAGTTCACATAAATCAACATTAAAAATGCAGTGACCATAACTTAACTACACCATGTGGAATGAGTACTATCATTTGAAAGTCAATGTGTCACCAAGGGTGATTTTTTTTTAATTTGACAGTACAACATCAGCCTCCAGAGATTTTAAATGAAGCGTCTTCAAATAAGGTTGTCAGTTAAAGCATGACCTGCTTAGCCAAATGGTTTACCAAGACATCTTGGGCCAGGTGCAATCAATCAGCCTAACCTAACAAAATAAGGATGAGTTGAAAAATATCCATATATCTTTCCATTGATACAAGGGAGAAAGAAATGAATAATATACTAAGGGAAAAAATGGGGGAAGCAACTAATCATCTCTCCATCACTGACAAAAGCAAAGCTAGTTTAAGGAGCAAAGTGGAAAGTTCAGACTGAGAAATGACAGAGTATATTATTTAGGCTTTGAGTCTAACAACTTCAGATAAATTCTATATATACAGAAAAGAGGGAGAGGAATCTTTATTTCTAGAATAGTTTGCTGGCCTATGAAAAAGAACAGACAAACATGGGATTCCACTCAATGGAATACAATCAGACAGTGACTTCCCAGAAGACCACGGGATAACAATTGCAAAATAAGAACATGTATATTAAATATAAGCAGGCTTAGAAGTACTGTGGTCCTTCTACATTTAGAAAAATTATCAGACAACCCATTGGTAAATCTCCAGCTTGAACATGTCACAAGTCAAAGAGAAATCCTCAATATGAATTATATAACCAGTTTATCTGAAAAATAAGGCTTTAGTTAGTGAATGTTATTTGTCTTACATTACAATTGTACTGACTTATAAAATGTAAAGTAAAAATTAAAACTTTAATTTTTATATTTACATTTTTACTTTACAAACTTTGCCATGAATTATCATTTTTCAGGTGACAAAAGTGTGGCCTTATTAAACACATGGGATCTGACAATATTAGCTGAACTCTGACATATCTGAATTCAACTACTGTTCTGACCCCATTTATTTTTGAGAGTGTGGCCCCTGACAAGCTTTTGGTATTTTTTCCTAAAAGGGATCTCAACCATGAAAAAAAAATTAAGCCATGTTTTTTTTTTTTGTCTACAAACACTCCAATTTTCATACTCTTTCCACTGGCTGGGTAGTGCAGAGAATTCACTAGGAATCTGGATGGTTTTTCAAGAGTTAAAACTACCTTTGCATAAATTCTTTCAGTAGTTAAATATTCAAGCCCACTTTATTCTATAAGAAGTGTTATTTCTATACTTACTAGAATGTAAAGCAAATGATCTGTGGGCATCGGAGGATTGCCTGCAACACAACATTTAAACAAAGTGGTGTAAAAATACATCTGAAATGTTAAGAGTCACAATTTTTCAAAAAACTTAAATCTACATGTACTTTCTAAATGTCTATGAAACACTTACAGGTCTCTCTCTATCCCTTCCACATCGTCATACACTTCCTCTGCAGTTTGCTCCAATGTAGCAGTTCTTAGATCTGGATCCCATTTCCCTTCATCTCTTCTTAAAGATTCCAGGCATACATAATCATCTGAAACTGGAGCAGAATTCTTGTTTCAGGCTCTCCTAAACATATACGAAATATTTAACCTGCCTAAATGCTGAAACTGCAACACGCATTCTGAAGATCCAAGAAGAGAAAGCTATGAAAACTGCATCGGCTTTTTGATGCACGTTTCTCCAAAATAGACCATTAAGGAAAAAGCAGCCAACATTTTTTGTCATGATTGTCCTTCTATATTGTCCATTGACTTTAAAATTGCACTTACAGTCATAGAACCCAGTTGTTACAAAGCAGGCTGGCTTGGGCATTCTAAGAATTGAAGTTCACACATCTTCAAGTTATTTAGGCTGAGGAACACTGCTATGAAACAATATAGTATCAAGCTTTTCTTAAGCATATCACACAAATTACATTACTCTACACCAGCTCTTGCGATTGTCCCTTATCTCTCAACCTAGATGTACAAATATCAATTCTTCAATCCTTGGCAAAAAGTCGAGAGATACAAAGGACATCTTGTCAAGAGATGTTACGTATGGAGAGGTATAAAGGAGTACGTGTCACTTAACTCAGAGTAAAGCAGTAGCAACCTCAACATGCATTTAACTCACAATCTTCATCCTTTGCCAATCCTTCTCCAGAGAAACACTGATTTGTTTCCTCTTGAGGCATATTCTTCTCAGTCCCTCTGATTCGGGGTTTCATGAATATACTTCGAGGATTGCACATCTGTTAGCACACATTACATTGTTTGGGTTAAAGAGTCCTTTCACAACATTCCTTGCTAAATTCATAATGTGGCACAGAGCACCTATTCTAGCATACAAATCAAAGCAGATTAAATAAAGTACTTAATTATTTCTGATCAGGCATCATCCAGGCCCCAATCTGTGTAATTCATCTCCATCTTGCACCTTCTACATGTTTCATCATAAGAAAACATTCCCCAAGCTGAATTCTTACAGATAAATACCACTGAACTTTTAAGTAAAGGGGAAGTGCATGTCCTACTTCTTTCCCAAGCCAAAACCAGGATAAGACAATATTACATTAGGTGAGTAGAAAATTCCAGTGGGGAAAGAAACCTCCCCCCCAGCCATTTTACATATTCAACATTAGTATTTGTTCAATTTTCCCAATTAAAAGATCTCCTGTGACATCTGTGAGTAGAGTGGGCAGCACTGCAAGGTTTTCAAGAAGGACACATCACCCTTTATAAGACAGTTTGTGCACATATAATTCAATCAGAAAATCTCAACATTAAGAATTGCCCATTTACTAAGTCAGAAAAATAATTGGTAGCAACATATATTTTATATTCTAAAAACCATACTTTGTGGATATGCAACACTATAGTTAATTGGACTAGCAATTTCAAGAGAGTGAGATTAATAAGGACCAATGAAATCTGTAAGAGATTCTCTACTAGAAGCTGTTTGCCATTCAGAATATTGAACTGTTCCTTCTTCAAATATCATGTTCATTTTTGCGTGAACACACAGAGTCAGAGTTATACAGCTGCATAATTTAATCCTTGTATTAAAAACTTTCTTTAAAAATACCCCAACACATAGGGCAATAGTATATAAATATTCCTGACTTAATATTTCTTCAACCTATTTGTAGCAAAACAAAGAGTGCTTTAGTTTTTACAGATTGGTCACAAAATAATAGTTTTATTGACCTGGACATTGTTTTAAGGAATATCTCGGTCTGCATCTATGTTCCATGTCCTTTTAGTGAAATGTGGCTAGAATCCAAAAAACACTACTCAAAGTTTCCAAAGCATGCAGAGTAACATACACAAGCAAATTTTCCTTCCTGGTTTTAATCCGTGACACTAAATAGGTTGTCATTTCAAACATTTGCTAATCTTCCAAAGCAATTTTTGAAGCACAAAGAAAAGTAGGCTGACACAAAAGTTATGGGAGAAATAACCTGCATAAAAAATAACTCATTGAATGCTTGTATGCTTGCCAGACGCTTCAGTTTGTATTATTCTCATATGGAACATTTGAAGAAAATTAATTAGCTTACTCAGAAAATTGGTTGAGAATTGACTTGTTTGTTCAACACACTTTCAGTTCTATCAACAAATTAAATTTAACATATTTAGACTGTGTTTATATTATATACTTTTGGTTATATACTTATAACCTGCAACACAATGGATGAATGAAGCCAATAACATTAAATTATCATCACAATTGCTTGACGTTAAGACTAGGTTCATCCAATTTAAATAATGAAATTGCTATGTGGAAAAAGAGCCAGTAGTAAGCTATAATTTGTAAAATATTGCCTTGTGTGTAGTAATCTAAATGTAACATAAAATTTTAGCATAACAAAAAGTAATTTGTCCTGAGGCAAAAAATATATATAACCAATTCCAGAATGCTGAAATTCGATGCATTTCTATTTTAATATTAATCTTCTACTATTTAGGTGCTAGCTATAAACATACAATAGACAATAAGTTAAAGGAAACTAACTAGAGTAGGAATGGGCAATTAATGGCCCCTTTATGACCTGTGGACTTCAACTTCCAAAATTCTTGAATCAGCTGGCTCAGGAATTCTGGGATTTGAAGTATACAGGTCATGAAGGGGCCATTAATTGTCCACCCTGAACTAGATGGATGAGCCCCATAAAGATGGATATTTCTACAGCAAGCCAAGTGCTGATCCATTGTTCTCTTTTTCTTCTCTCACTCCAATTATTTCATCAGACTAGAGATTGAGAGCACGTACCTTAGTATCTTCCTTTTCCAAAGACTTGAAAGCTAGAATCAAGGTTTAGTAGAAATTAGTACATTACACTTTGTAATTTGTTTCAATAAAACTGCTTTAATAAAACTGCTAATGATAATAAGGAGTTACAAATAGATTGCTATATAACCTACCTTCTCCAACCAGCTAAACAAAGTGTACCCAAACTAATATTTTTAAAGACAAAAACTGCAAGATTTCATGCACTACAGATACAATTAGAAGTAATCTTAATTCTATCCCCATCCAAATCTTAAAAATGAAAAACGTGTGTGAGAAAAGTTAATGAAAGATCACCTCTTTTCAGATGCACATAGTTAAAAGAGTTTTTAAAAAAGAGGTTAAAGTTAAATAGTACAAAAAGAAAAGAAAAAAATAGAGAGAAGCTTGATAAATGTGTTGAAACATAACACAGAATATAAAAGCCAAAATTACACTGCACTGATGATATCAGTTAGTATCTAAGTGCTCCGATATTACCAAATCGGGTAATGAAACATCTATTAACAAACAACAGTCCAAACATCATCAAGGACTCCATAGTTCAATCCTGAGCTACATATATTCTCTTCTGTTGGACTTAAAATGTTAACCATTGATTACCATATTTTTGGAGTATAAGACGCACCGGAGTATAAGATGCACCAAGATTTTGAAAAGGGAAATTAAAAAAAAAGTTTTTGCACTCTGCAGACCTCCCCAAAATGGCCCATTTTTGTCAAAAAAAGGGGCATGTGTAGCCTTTAGAAGGCTTGTAGACTGCTCCTGGGGGCTGGGGGACCCAAAAATGAGCAAAGAATTGGGCCATTTTATGCCCTCCCCAGCCCCCAGGGGCACTCTGGAAGCCTCCTCAAGGTTATGCATGGCCATTTTTGGAAAGTGGGGTGGGGTTTTGGGAGCCCAAAAATACTGTATTCAATGTATAAGACGCACCCAGATTTTCACTCTCTTTTTTGAGGGAAAAAGGTGCATATTATACTCTCCAAAATACAGTAATTTCTCACCTCTGCTACTTAAATTCTCAAACTTCTTCCACATGCGAATCACCAAATTCCCTCATGTTGCAAGCTAATGTGCCTTGGGAGTAGCTGCACATCTAACAAGCATGTACACCCATATAGTCTGCATAAATGAAACAACAGTTGAAACTCACAGTGTATGGGTCGTTGAGCAGGATTAGGACAGTTCTTTTGCTGTTCCTGATAGTATATGGTTTCTTCATAGGTGTTCAAATCTTCCAGTTCAGTACTGAAAATAAAGGAAGGGGCCATACCATTATCCTTTTCTGAAAAAGAACTTAGAAATCAATGAAAGTACTGTATTGAGGCATTTTTGATTCCTTAATGGCAGAGATTTACAATATACTGTATTGGTTGGAATCAGTCCTGTTTCTCTTCATCAAAAGAGGTTTACACATGGTTCTACTAGCCAAGAAATCTTGGGAGTGGTTTATATGAAGTACTACTTTTCAATGTTGTATGGAAATGTACTCATTAAAGTAAGATAGCAACACAACAGGACCTCTAATGCCATTGGATCAACTCTCTGTAAGTTCTGAAACACTGAGAATCCCCAAAAAGAACACAAAAAATAATATTCCACATTTTCAAGTATTTTTTGGCAAGAATGAAAGTATAGTGCTTATTAGGGCCATTGAAAGTAAATTTGATCAAAAGTAAAATCAACTTTCCAAATCAGATAATTTGGAATCAAACTGTCAAACCAAATCCTTCCAAAGAGAAACCAAGCATCAATGCTCTTCTGTATATGGAAATACAACTTTCTTCCTATAATAAGGTGACCAGATTTTAGCATTGATAAAGTGGGACACCATTGACGGAGGGGGGGGGGGTTGTTTTTAAAAAATCAGGACTTTTTAAAAATGCCACGGGATGCGGGACAAATTGTTAAAAAATGGGACTGTCCCGCCAAAAGCGGGATGTCTCCAACGGTGCCAACCAGCACGGAACCTTAAGATAGTAATTTTTCCTCACCTTTTCCCACACCCCCATCAAAATCTTCCAAATATAATGTCCCATGAAATACCTGTGGGGGGGTATCTCTTTCTTGCCAGAGGGAGACATGCCATCCCTGTGGGAGGTCATGTTCCTCTATAGCCAATAAGCGCTTTCTACTCAACGTCGCCCAATCCTTCACCCATGTCATAATTGCTGCACTATAATATGCTTCCCAGTTGGGTACTCCGAAGCCTCCCAGTTCTTTATGTTTTTGCAACATTTGGGCTTTAATTGGTGCTTTCTTGCCTTGCCATATAAATCGAGCCACTATTATCTCCAAGGATTTAAAAAATTTGTTGTCCAATTTAGTCGGTGCCATTTGAAACAAAAACAGAAATTGTGGTCCCCTTTTGATCCCCAATGGAGAAGCCCAGATTCACTTAACAGTCATTTTCCTGACTTAACAACCACCATGATTCACTTAACGTGGCAATAAAAGGTCACAAAATGCGGCAAAATTGGACATTTTTTAAAAAATCCTTGGAGATAATAGTGGCTTGATTTATATGGCAAGGCAAGAAAGCACGAATTAAAGCCCAAATGTTGCAAAAACATAAAGAACTGGGAGGCTTCGGAGTACCCAACTGGGAAGCATATTATAGTGCAGCAATTATGATATGGGTGAAGGATTGGGTGAAGTTGAGTAGAAGGCGCTTATTGGCTATAGAGGGACATGACCTCCCACAGGGATGGCATGCCTCCCTCTGGCAAGAAAGAGATACCACCCATAGATATTTCGTGGGACATTATATTCAGAAGATTTTGATGGGGGTGTGGGAAAAGATGAGGAAAAAGTACTATCTTAGGG